AAAAAAAAAAAAAAAAAAAATAGTAAATTTAAAATGCATTTTCCTTGCTGTAATTTATAGCTTTTCTTTAATAACTAGAATTTAATGCAGTATGCTTTTCATTAAGGCCTGGGAGGACCGTTTGATTCGAATACAAGAAACAATTGATGAATGGTTAAAAGTACAAGCTCAATGGCTTTACTTAGAGCCTATCTTTTGTTCTGAGGATATCATGCAACAGATGCCAGAAGAAGGGCGTCAATTTCAGACAGTAGACAGATATTGGAGGGATATCATGAAGTTTTGTGCAAAGGATCCAAAGGTGAAGTGTTTGTTTTCTCTCTCACAGTAGGTGAACCTTTGTTTTTGGATATTAAAGAAAACATCTGACTTTTTTTCTGATTACAAAAATTAACTTGCTCATTGTATACAAACTGGAAAGTTCAGAAAAATATAAGAAAGCATAAAAGTATTAAAATAAGATTACTTTTCAATTCATGAGATACACTGCTTGTAACTCGTTAGTATACCTAGTGGAACTGCTTCAAATTTACATCTGATTCACATGACTTCTACTATACACACTCACGCTCTCCTCCTCACAAAATAAATAGATAAATCAAATTAAACGGAGAGAGTGAGAACAAGAGAGAGGGAGAGAGAATGAATAGTGCAGGTGATTCACCTGACATTCTACTAGTGACTGTATACTCAGGGGATGATTGGGAAAAAATCTGCTGTTCTCTCGCTTGGTCTCAATTCCAATATCTCTCCCAGTAAATGTTGAAAGGCATACTATATATTTTTCATACACACAGTGCACATATTCCATAGATATGCATCTACTTTTTCATCTGGTATTCAATTTAAGAAATAACAATTTATTCCCATGCTGAATGAAAAGTAGCTGTGCTGGACTCAGTGAGAGTCAGTAGTCCACTAAAATTTATGTTGTAAGGATTTTGCTTTACCTGTGGACTTCAGAATCTTTGTGAAACATGATTTCTTATAGATCAAAGGTCAGCAATTTTTTTCTGCCAAGGGCGGAATAGTAAAATATATAGTAAAATATTTAGACTTTGTCTTGCATATATATACATATTTTAGACTTTGCGGGAGGACAGGTCTTTTTTTGCAGCTACTCAATTCTGTTGTCGTTGCAGTGAGAAAGCAGTCAGAGGTAATATGTAAATGAATGTGTCTGTGTGACAGTAAAACTTTATGGACACAGACATTTTCATATGTCACAAAATATTCTTCTTTTGATTTTTTTAACTTCTAAAAGTGTAAAAATAGTTTTCAACCCATACAAAAACTGACAGCAGGCTGGATTTGGCCTGCAGGATGTAGTTGGCCAACTCTTTGCTATAGATTGCTGAATTTATGGTTGACAGTAGTAAAAGTAAAAATTAAATCGAGCACCAGCCGAACGGACTTTTCTTATAATATTCAAAATAATGTAGGAGAAATGACAAATGCATGACAATCATAACTTGTCATTTTAACTAGTGTCTTTGGATAAGTATTTATAATTTATTGAATTTTAGTTTTTATATTTAAAAAAGATTTCATTGCAAATTTTATAAACCTGACATTTTTTCATAAACCTTTTAACATTAAAAAATGTTTAACATATAGTATAGATTGATATTTAAGTCTTGTATCTAGCACGTAAGTGCTGACTTGAATGAATGTGTCTCGTTTAGGTTCTTGCTGCCACTTCTTTAACAGGTTTGTTGGAAAAACTGCAGAACTGCAATGAACTTTTGGAGAAAATTATGAAAGGTCTTAATGCATATCTTGAAAAGAAACGTCTTTTCTTCCCTCGGTATGATAGATAATCAATTGTGCTGTAACTAAAAGCATTTTCATATGTGTAATGAATTATAACTAAAGCTTTTGTATTTGTATGTTTTTCCCTAGTTTTTTCTTCTTATCTAATGATGAAATGTTAGAGATTTTATCAGAGACCAAAGATCCACTTAGAGTTCAGCCGCATTTAAAAAAATGCTTTGAGGGCATTGCTAAATTGGAGTTCCTTCCCAATTTGGACATTAAAGCCATGTATAGTTCTGAGGGCGAGCGAGTGGAGTTGATAGCACTCATTTCCACGTCTGCAGCTCGGGGTGCTGTGGAAAAGTGGCTCATTCAGGTGGAAGATTTAATGCTCCGGAGTATTCACGATGTGATCGCTGCAGCCAGGCTGGTATGTTTCCTAGGATTTGATGTATACTCTATTTTCTGCAAATGCTTTGTTTAAGAGGTTTTGAAAACCAGTAAATTAAAATTTAAAGTTGTTCCGATTTTAAATCATTTATTTTCTTTACCTGTTTGTTTCTAACATTATTATTAACATAACAATATTACTATGAATTGATAATAGTATGTGATGGTTATAAAAGAGAAAAGATATTATGAGAGAATAATAAGAGGTATATAATTTAGAATGGGGGAGGGTCCCGTGATAGGCTATTAGAGGGGGTGATGTTGAAACTGAGACGCAAAGGTTAGGTAGGAATTAGCCAGGTAAAGAGCAAGTGAGAGAGCATCTAGGCATCCTACGTAAAGGCCCTGGGATCAGAAAGAACTGGGGAGTTGTGAGATCCTGAAAGAAGACAAACGTGTCTCGCACAGGGTAAGCAAAGTGGAGAGTGAAGTCACATGAGGTTGGAAAGGAAGGCAGTTAAGAGTTTGCATTTTATTTTAAATGCAGTGGAATACCACCTAAATATTTTAATCATGGAAGGGACATAGTCTGATTTATATTTTTATACCATTATGGTTGTGGTGTAAAGAAAAGATGAGTGGAGGTGTGAAAACAGGAAGGCAAATTAGGAGACTCAGATTCGTTTAGATGAAAGATGATGTGGGCTGGTTTGTCAGAGATTCAAATTCAAAAAAACAAAAATAGGGCCGGGCGCGGTGGCTCAAGCCTGTAATCCCAGCACTTTGGGAGGCTGAGGCGGGTGGATCACGAGGTCAAGAGATCGAGACCATCCTGGTCAACATGGTGAAACCCCGTCTCTACTAAAAATACAAAAAATTAGCTGGGCATGGTGGCGCGTGCCTGTAATCCCAGCTACTCAGGAGGCTGAGGCAGGAGAATTGCCTGAACCCAGGAGGCGGAGGTTGCGGTGAGCCGAGATCGCGCCATTGCAATCCAGCCTGGGTAACAAGAGCGAAACTCCGTCTGAAAAAAAAAAAAAAAAAGAAAATATAGTTTGCATTAGCATCAGCTTCAAAATTCATTCTGTAGTTGTTTTCAGTTTATAGTTTGGATCTGCTAAAATCGTTTACTGTTTAAACAAGCTATTCTAAAAAAGATTAAACCTCTCCATCCATAAATCCACTTAAATGTATTTTGAATATCAAAGTGTTAGAAAAAAAAAAGAAAATATACCTTGAATTCAAAACTACAGATTGTTCAATTATACATAATTGATCAAATATATGATTGTTAAATTATATACTCTGATCATACAGGTTTTTAGAAAAGCTATGGATAAATAATACAAGGGTGCTATTAGTGCAGTTTTAAACTATATTGTAGTTTAAACTCCTTTTCAATTAAATCTTGGCATCAATATACATAATCTATTTGACTAGTTTTTTGTTTTTTTGTTTTTGTTTTTTTGAGGCAGAGTCTCATTCTGCCGCCCAGGCTGGAGTGCAGAGGCATGATCTCCACTCATTGCAACCTCTGCCTCCTGAGTTCAAGCGATTCTCCTGCCTCAGCCTCTCTAGTAGCTGGGATTACAGGTGCCCGCATCATACCCAGCTAATTTTATTTGTATTTTTAGTAGAGACAGAGGTTTCACTATGTTGGCCAGGCTGGTCTCAAACTCCTGACCTCAGGTGATCTGCCTGCCTCAGCCTCCTAAAGTGCTGGGATTATAGGTGTGAGCCACTGCACTTGGCCTTGACTAGCTTTTTTAAGTTTACTAAAATTTTTATACTTTATTATAATAGAAGTAATAGGTATTCTATATGGAGAACTTGACAACTCCTTATAGCAAAGGAACATGAAAATCACATAGAAATCAACTTCCAGAAGAATCAACA